TGTCAGCAGCAACATTTAGCTGTAAATGTTTGCCTGTAAAAAAAATCATACATGAGCTTTGAACCAATTCCTCCTACTGTACCTTCAAAGTTCTTATAATTCATTCTGATGGACTCATGAAAGGCTGAAACAAGTGATAAACCAGTCAGCTGTAGCAAAAACATTTCAGTCAAAACCCATTGATGGTGGTGCTGGGGGAACTAAGCAACAGGCAGGGACACGAGCCATTTTATTAGGTGCAGTCATACAGCTGCTCAGTTCAAGATTCTTCAAACTGAGCATCAGAATGGAAAGAAATAGGATTTAAGTGACATTGAAAGTGGTGTAGTTGTTTATGCCAGACGGACTGGTCTGATTATTTTAGGAACTGCTGATCTGGGATTTCCCCACGCAAGTATTTACAAGTCTTACTACGAAGCCCTGCAAGGGACATGGGAGAAAAAAAATTACGATGAACTTTTGCGAGATCAAGAAAACCAACTCGGGATCTCGCAAAAGTTGAATCCCAACAATGGCGGCAGCTACTTGTAATATTACTCTTTCTGGGTCACAAAATAAACTTTTAAGATATTTTGAGGCGTGAATGTAGTTGTGTAAACGTCAAATATCTGCTCGGTTTGCAAGACATCACATATTTGCAAAAGTGCTCTGATGTTGTTGGAGATCTGACACCCACCATCTCGAAGCTAACGGGAGGTCGAGACCTACTACAGCCATGGAACACCGCTCTCCCGGCACATCGTGCCTCGACCTCCCGGTCGGCTTCGAGCTGGCGGCCTCCGAAGAATGCGGCTAAAACTTTTGCGAGATCCCGAGTTTGTTTTGCGAGATCTCTCAAAAGTCCGTCTTAATTTTATTTTTCTCCCATGTCCCTTGCGGGGCTCCGTATCTTACAGAGAATTGTCCAAAAACAGAGAAAATATCCAGACATCTTCTGATGACTGCTTCCAGTCACGCCATGTCACAAAGTTTAAATCATCTTAAATTGGTTTCTTGAACATGACAGTGAGTTCACTGTTCTCTACAGTCAGCAGATCTCAATTCAATAGAGCTCTGGTGGCATGTGGTGGAATGAGAGATTCAAATCCTGGAGGTGCAGCCGACTAATCTCCGGCATCTGTGCAATGCTATCATTATAATGTGGACCAAACAGCCCTGAGGAATGTTTCCAACACTTTATTGGATCTCTGCCATGAAAAAAGCGCGACTCAAAAAACAATCTGCCTTTTGTTTGCACGTGATGAGATAATGGGAGAGGATCATGAGGGTAGAGCACGTGTACACAAACCCAGAAACATCAAAGGGCTACAGTAGGTGTGTGCCGGTAAACAGACACTAGCTCCCATAGAAACCACTGCTATGTTTATGGTGTTGTGTGAAGTTGGGAAATCTCATTTAACATGAGTAACGGCAGTAATGACATATAGGTAGAGAACAGCTTTGTGTTGCTGTAGGAAAACCTCTGTGTGGTAAGTGGATGATTAACTGTTTCCATAAACCGTTTAATGAGCCCTTTAGCAAAACATCAAACCAACAGCTGAGATTATAAAGAGAAGCAAATTAGAGCAAATGATGGGGATTTTGTTCTCGAAGGAGTCTGATAGATTTGTGAATGTAAATAAGACAGGGGCATAGACAAACATTATCCTTCTTTATGGTGTGTGGAGATGTTTTATACGGAGCCCCGCAAGGGACATGGGAGAAAAATAAAATTAAGACGGATTTTTGCGAGATCTCGCAAAACAAACTCGGGATCTCGCAAAAGTTTTGCGAAAAGTTCATTGTAATGTTTTTTTCTCCCCTGTCCCTTGCGGGGCTCCGTAGTTTTGTTTGAAGTCCCAAGGTGACAAAAAGTATTGTGAAGCTATCTGTGCTGATGTACAAGTAAAAGTAACAAAGTGTTCCCTGCTAACAGAGTTTTTCTTTAAACCAAATGTATTTGTGGGTTTCTCGTGTTAGATCAGAAAAGTCAAGATTCATTTTTCTTTCTTACTCTATATCTCGCCCAAAGTATTTGCTCAACTGCCTTCACACATATGAACTCGAGTCACATCCCGTTCTGGATTCATAAGGTGTAATATGATGTCAGCCCACGCTTTACAGCTATAACAGCTTCAACTCTTTTATGAAGGCTTCCCACAAGGTTTAAAGGTGTTTATGGGAATTTTTGACCATTGTTCTAGAAGCACATTTGTGAGGTCAGACACTGATGTTGGATGAGAACGCCTGGCTCGCACCGCAGTCTCTACTCTAATTCTTCCCAAAGATGTTCTGTGCAGGCCAGTCAGGTTCTTCCACATCAAATTTGTTCATTCATGTCTTCATGGAACTTGTTTTGTGCACTGGTATTCAGCCATGTTGGAACAGGGAGGGGTTATCCCCAAAACTGAATTTTACAGTTGTAATTTGTGTGATACTTTTGTGGTACAATTGTAAAAACTAAGCAAAGTTTTTAAGGAAAATGTATCTCTTTTTGTGTGGAAGCAAGTTTAAATAGGTAATGACATTTCTTAAGATGTATGAATTACCTTATGAAATCATCACTGGGAACTTGTTCCTATTTTTGATGTGACTGTGTAAACAGAAAATTTGCATTTTTGTTATTTTATTGGCATTTCATTGTTTTTAATGTTGTAATTTTAATGTTTATCAGAAACAGGTGTGAATGAGGCATTGAGTTCCAGTCGGACTACTTGTATAACTAAAGGATAAATTGAAAAAAAAAACTTAACCCATTAGTTTTTTTATATAGCTCTTGACTGCCCCCTGGTGTGCCCACAACGGAACTACAGCAAACTTCTGCGCAGTAGGACTGAAAGGAAGTCATCTCTGGTTTGAGTGAAAGCTCCTTGCACTAGGAGCTTGGTAGTTTCCTAATTGTAGCTTAGGTCGCAGGTTTATTCTGTCTAAGAAACAAAACAAACAACAACAACAACAACAAAAACAAAAAAAAAAAAAAAAAAAAAACAAAATGTGCAAAATGTTTATAAAAAAAAAAAAGCACCTAAATAAATATTTTTCTTGGTTTTGAAATATACTAAATCCTTCTTGCAGAATTAGTTTTGAATATTGAATGCTTGTTTCTTATCATCTGATGTAGCTCTAAAATATAAGGTGTAACGCATTCAAACAAATGCAATACAGTAGGCCAGCAGGTGTCATCATGCTAATTTTAGCACAATATCTTTACAGTATTTCACCAAGCTTTGCCTTAATTTTGTAATCTCTGAATGATGAAGGTAGTCTGGGTGACTGTGCAGGTTCTTCAATCCCTAAATAACAGTCAGGCTAAAGTTATGGCAACATTTAACTTAAAAATCTTTTATATCCAGGCCTTACAGTTTGGATATAAAAGCGATTTGAGGAGGAGTTTTACTATATATAAATAATATGAAAACAGTTTTTATATGACCAGTTTAGAAAAGTCTAGAAAAGATGACAAAATCTGGGAAAAAGTTCCCAGTAATGGAGAACACATATTGACATTGCTCCATAAACCTTAAATGAATAAAGTTTAAAAAAGCAGCAAGGATTAGTGGCTTTTACTCTGTTGCAAAACAGAACCACAAATCTGTCAGTCCTGCTCTGACTAATATTTACAGTCTAGACATTGTACATGTCTTCCCTTTCTTTCTCCTCCCTCCTTTCAGCCTCTTTTATTCAACACCTTGCTCTCCTAAGTCACTCTGCTCTCTGTCTTCTTTCTGTCTACCTTCTTTTCTGTTCCTTGCATCGGTGGTCATGTCTTGGAGTTCACCCTTCATTTTCCTGCTCTTCCTCCTCAAAGTTCAGAGTGTGGACTTAATTAATGGTGAGTACAAGTAAACTAATTTTAATCTGAAGAACTTAAGCCATAGGATGCAAATGATTATGATTAAACAACATATACTATAAATACAAATTTGGTAAATGGATCTATTTTTAGTATGCTATCTTCATGGCGGCTTTGCAACAAACCAAAGACAAAAGAAAACACACCTCAGTCCTGTCATCATGAAATATGCAGCACACTGACAGATCAAATAGCGGCACACACACCTTGATACAAAACAGAGCTGTTGACCTTGGTGTAGATAAGATAGAGGTTCACCACTGACTACTGAATCTGGCCTTAAATTGTAAATATGTCTGCATTTGCAGGCTGAATGAGTTTGTGGAGCTGTAATTTAAAACTTAACCCTCTGAATTTCAACTCATAGTAATTATGTTACTCAAATCCTGAATCCTATGTTTTGGATAAAAGCAGACAAAGAATTTTTTCACAAAAGAAAGTGTAAATAGTGCTTTCCCAGGAAGAAGAAAAATGCATTTACCATGTATTCAGTATTTCTCCACCTGTGACGACTTAAGAGACTCTTGGAAACATGCAAAGTGCAATAAATGTACTTCCAGTTAAAATGTAATACTTTCAAAGTTGTGCTACATTATCATAGAAAAACAAATCAAAAAAGATGTTTCTGTTAATGTCAAAGTTAAGAAATTGACAAATAAGCCTCCCCTCTGTTAGATCGGTCCATCTCCTATCTGACGGGTTTTGCGGTTCCAGAGATCGACGGTTCAGCTGTGGATGCAACCTGCAGGATTTTCTTTGATTATACACCTGACACTCCCACTGAGATAACCACAACCTCCCCCATCACCAGGAAGGTGATGTATTAGATATATTAAGAAGTAGCACCTTGACAGATTAGCTGTAGCCTAGTTTAACCATTTTGTTACAGGCAAACTTAATCTCTTATCTTTGTATTACAGCAGCAGGTAGTCACTACAACTAAAAAGCCATCTGTCAAGCCGCCACTTAAGAAACCACAGACCAAAGATGCTGGAGTACCAGTCAGGATACAGCCAGCTGCTGTGATACCAATCCCTAACAGCCAATCCAACGCTGCCCTCAGAATCCTTTACTACTTACTGGCCAATAGACAAAGACAAATAGGACGTTCACAGATGGCATCACGCAGTGCCAAGTCATCAGCAACCTGGAAAGCAGGTTCATTCTCTTCTGAGGACTCAAGTGATGAATCTTAAAATCATACCATGACCATGTTTTGAACCTGATTTTCTGTTACAGATTTGTGAATGTTTTTCTTTTATTAGTTTATTTTAAACTCTACCACATCGAGCAGCTAGAACAGTAGTTGTTGTACCTGGCTGTTATAACAGGATTGTTTTGGGGATGTTTCAGTGACTGTATGATACTGTTCTTAGCTTAGGTTTAGTTAGCAAATCACAACCCATCCCTTATTTTATCCTTAAAGGCTCTTTTACTTTGATCTCATAAAAAATAAAACAACAACACTAATGTAATGAATTCGTTTAAGCGGTGATTGAAAATGTATTTACAAACTATTTATTTGCCACTTTAAAAGGTTTATCGTAATTAAACAGAAAAACAAGTTACAATGATTTACATTGTCAATCTCTTTGAAAAAATGTTCAAAGTTCACTGTTTTAATCCTGTGTTTTTAACAGTTTTTGGTTATTTGACAAATCACTCAATCTAAATCTGGTTACAGAAGCAAAATCCAGATAAATAAACCTTTATAATGGACAAAAGGATAAACATTTGTGTCCATAAATAAAAGTAAATTTCATGTTTGTTTTAGTGTGTTTCAGTGCTGTTGTGTCCACGCTGCTGTGGTTCTGATGGTAGATGGGATGGTTGTTTGACTTTTCGCTGGTTTGTGGCAGCTCCTTTTTGCTTTCCTGAGAACACAGGACATGACTCATTTGATTCTGACTCATTTGACAATAATGGCCAGAATAACATATACCACAATAAAATATATACCAACAAAATGGAATGTGCAGATGAGTGCGCAAGTGATTAGGTGAGAGTGCTGGGCATCCCTACATAGAGATCCCCAAAGTTGTTAGCTAAGTATCCAGTTGAGGTTGATAATCTCTGGAACTGGTTGAAAAATAAGTGATTATTGAAAATCTTGCTCTTTTTACCCCTACACATATTGTTTGGTGTCCACTGAAACTTTACAAAGGAGGTGGAGAGTGCAAGTTAGCATATCCCATAGATGTACCACAGACTTACAAAGTGGTAAAACATCAGGTTGAAACAAAGCAAACTACTCTCTTTATGTGTTTTTCATGTCAAATCTCAAATGTAACTGGTCTTTTTAAACCCCAGTTAGTCCAAAAGGGGGCTATTGCTCACACTTATCATATAGCTTGGAAACTGGACTACTGGGTCAAATTGAGCTGCCATCATCACCATTAGCGCGCCAAAAACTGTTACCATGTGTGAATACCTTCTCTACATACCTAAATCTGGGAAATGTATGTGTGAATTATTTTTGGAAACATCGCTGCTATTCTGGAGACGGTCAGATACAAAGGAGTGTTCACAGATTAGACTCCTCTCTGGCTCCTGAAAGGACAAAGACGTTATTTTCAAATATTTTTTTAATCTTCTGATTATGCTGTAAAGAAAGCTGTTACCTGGAAGGTAAGTAATTCTTTAACATGACTTGATGGAAACTGTTGGGATTTTTGGGTATAAATGCCACCGTGATGTCTTAACTTATCTAAAGTCCTGTAAAAACAAAGATAAAAACCTTGTACCAAACCATGCAAGATAAGCAGGACTCAAAACACCTGACAGGCCTGACCAATTTAGGGGAAGCTCAGTCTAATAACGAAGACACTGACACATAACCATATCAGTATTTTACAAAACACAGTAGTATTTGGTTATGATACCTCAGGGTGGGGGTTCTTGGATGGGAACTTGCCCCTAGGATATAATGATCACTGATGGCTGGGCCATGGGTTTTGATGACTAAGGAGTTGACAAGAGTTGTGGAGGATGAAGGGATGAGGGCAGGAGTGGAGGATGGTGGATGAGGGGGTGGAGAAGAACAAGAGACACTCAGATCAAGCTCAGCAAAGTCTGCATTATCCTCGTTGTGAAGGACAGAGCTTCTGGTCAAAGCTTTGTGGTGTGGAGTTTCTGTAGATGTGACTGAAGTCACATCTGGGACACTGGATATACTGGCTTTGTCTTTTCTTTCTGGGTTGTCATTCATCTTTCTTGTGGATCTCATGTGGTCTCTGAAAGATCCAGACTTTGTTTTAGATTCTCCAACCAAATATTTGGAGTGAGGAACTTTCCAGCCTTTTATGTCAGATTCAAAGTCACTGCTGTTGTTCTGTTTGTCATTACCTGAAGACACATTTGAGGTTTGAGTTACTGATGAGTTGGCTGTTGCACTAATGGGCACAGTGAGAACTATATCTTCTTGGTTCTCTTTATTCAAGACATTCAGTGTTGTCCTAAGACCAGCCCCTATTATTGTGTTTTCATTTGAAATTGTTGTGACTTCTGTGGAGGTCTTAGGTTTGGTGCTCTGCTGATGTAGGCAGCAAGGTTCAGAAGATTCAGGATGTACCTTGTAGTCTCCATCAGAAGAATGAGATACGTGCATGCCCAGCTTGGTTTCTTTATCTTCTCTACAGTTAATGTGCTGTGGAAGCAGCTTTGAAGATGAGTTGTTCATTTTTGAGGTAGACACAGATGGCTTGAGGTTTAATGATAGTACTTCAGTACTTCTGGATGTCTTTCTTTCTTCTGAATCAGCTGTTTGGTCAGTATGACTATTGGTCTCACACTGTTTGGTGATACACAGTGTGGTATGGACCTCAATGTGATGATTGATTCCCAGTTTAGGGGATTTTATTGGCAAGTCTGTTTTGGACCAATGAGTGGCTGATTCCACAGAAGGTTTTGGAGACGAGCAGAAATTTAGATGGTCAGTAGTTGATTGTTTCAACAACTGGGAACCTTTTTTGATTGTTTTATGCATTTTTTGTTCAAAATCCTGGCTTGATTCAAACTGATACAGTCTTGAGCTCTCTGGGGTATTTTTTTCAGTCCTACCTGACACTGTATTGTCAGAGCCGTGCATGTCTTTTATAATTCTCATAGGGTCTTCCCTTATATCTGAGGATAGCGCTCGCTCATGTTTTGGTTTTGCTACTGTGCTGTTTGCGACATCCAGGTTTGCTACAGTCTTGATGGTCTCTGATGAGTCAAAAGTAAGGGTTCTGGTTATCTTTGGAATCTCTGATTCTTTCTTCAAATCTACACCAGCAGCTTTGCCTGCTTTACTTTTCAAAGCCATAGGAGATTGAGCTGCATTGTGGATAACCTTGCTGCCTCCTTTGGATTGTTTAGTGGAGATTAAAGGTTCTGACTGACGAGGGGTTTTAGACAACTTCAAAGGCTGTTTCCCCTTTACTTTCTCCATCTTTTCCTTGTTGACTTTGTCATCCGTGTCCTCAGGTTGTTTCTTGTCCTTGCCATTACAGTTTTTCTCATCCCTTTCATCCTTTCTTGGGTTTTTGGTTATTTTGGGAAATGTAGAGTTTTCTCTGTGGTCTTTTTGGATCTTTGAATTTAGCTCGTCCAAAAATCTAAATGCACAGAGAAAGGCAGGATAGTAATTCTAATTTAGTGGCTACTCACCAGCCCAAATGTTAATTTTCAAATCACGCTATCGGTGCTGTTCTTGCTCACATGTATTTCAAGGTGTACCAGCATCAAGAGTATCTAAAACAAAGTGGTACCTGATGTGGAAGGAGTCTTGTGTAAAGAGTGGATGCTCTAACAGCTCTGAACACTGAGCCCGTCTTTCTGGATCTACGTGTAGACACTTCTGAGAAGAAGAGAAAAAAAAGAAACCAAACATATTACTGATATGTTCAACCCTGAAACTGACACAAAAATACATAAATACTTTCAGAACTCCAACAGTTATCAAGCAAGAAATAAAGATGCATGTGAAGGCCACAGATGCTGGCATTCACATGTCTCCAAGTTTTTCTAAATCTAAATATTTTTCTTTTCCTGTAAACCCACACACAGCCTTTTAGTTGTCACATTCCATTAACTGATACATCCACAATATGCTACAGCTACTGAAAAGACCACATGAACAAAATTTTAAAAAAGAAAGTATTTTTTATATACTGAGATTAAAATAAACTGTACCTGGGCCAGATCCAGGCTAATAGGTGTGATTGTAGGGAAACGCTGCTGGAGAGTGAGTCTGTCAGAACTTTTGGGCAGTGTAACTCCAGAAAATACAGGATTTCTGTAGAACAGCTCCTGGTGATGAGTTTTAAGGTTACCTATAGCAGAGAAAAGAGAGTGCAGTTAGCATGGGGAAGAGGAAAGACAATGTGCTAAAGCTGTGTGAAGAGCTTACCAAAGCACCGGATGATCTGATATATTTGATCAAGGTCCGAGTCTCCAGGAAACAGAGGCTGACCTGTTAACATCTCTAATAATACACACCCCAAAGCCCACACATCTACAGGTCTACACACACAAACACACAAATATGTTAAAATTTCTAATCAACAAACACCCTATAGCACAGGTAATTTCAGCAAGGTTAGTACACAGATACTTACTTGCCATACTTAATGTCTCCCACCAGCAGTTCGGGGGCTCTGTACCATCGAGTGGCCACATAGTCAGTGAGGACGCTGCCCTCACTGATCGATGCAACAGTGCGGGCAAAGCCAAAATCACACAGCTTAACCACACTGTCCTGAGAGATGAGGATGTTCTCTGGTTTGATGTCACGGTGGATGATCTGGAAATGAAAAGAACGAACCAGCATCATGTGGTATATTGCTCATTGAAAGCCTGCTAGGAGTAACCCTTCAAGCTTTTTTGTGATTGTTTTTTCTCATGTTTCAGGACTGCTTATAGAACAAAATGGCTGGCTTGGCATCAGAAGTTAGTGTGGGTGTTCTCTTACTATACAGCTAACTTATGAATAATTAATCATACGTCCTCACATTTTGCTGATGGCAGAAGGCAGCAGCCCTTAGGATCTGGTACAGGTACTGTCGGCATGTGTTTATCTCCAGTCCGCTTGGGTTTTGCTCCAGATCATCCAGAAGTGTACGTTCCACAAACTCAAATACCAGATACCAGCGGCGGCGGCGCTTCCACACTTCTAGGAGGTTCACCAGGTTTTCGTGTCGCAGTTGCTTGAAGTTTATAAAGATAAGGGTGGTTACTCTGTGAATGCATACAGTACTGAGTCTATCATTGATGGTATCAGTGCTTTTGGGTCACTGAAGCTGCACAGGCCCAGCAAATCAAGGACCTTGACTTTTTCATGATATTCAAATGTTTTGAGATACACTTGTTGACAAAAAAACTTTTAGAAATAAGGACTGATTCATTTCCTTTCACTGTGACTTGCTTAAAGTATACAACAACCCTCTTATCCACCATAGGTGTTGTATACTAATTTATATAACCTGTAAGTCCGATGTCAGATTACTGTAAAGTTATTGAACTATTCATGGTCAAGTCAACACTAATATTTAGTGGATAGATTCAAATTTTCCCTTTAGATTACAATAATCTGTTGGGTTCCTCTCACACATCATCTCATAGTGACTTTTAAACTTAAGGTAAGAAACTGATACAGTTATTTTAGCGTTGTTTGTCTCTTGTTATTGTAAATGTCTTCATTCAGGTTTTACTTAATGACTGAATGAGTGGTAGGCTGATGGATTAATTGACAGGTACCCTGAGTAGCTTGATCTCCCTGTGGGCGATCTTCTTCACAGTCTTGTCATCATCAGAGTCCATGAATTTCTTGATGGCGACAATGCGACCAGTATCACGATGACGGCACTTAAGCACGGTGCCGTAACTGCCCTCTCCGACTGGACCCAGAGATTCATAACGTTCCATCGAATTCTTGTTCCAGAGGGAAAGAGGAATAAGTTGGATTTTAAAACCGATTCCTGTTTGGTGTTCATCAGTGTAATTGAAAATGTATTTTAAAACACCATTAATGTTTTCAAATTCATATTTAAATGGCCTGCATTTGTATAGCACTTTACTTAGTTCATAAGGACCCCAAAGCACTTTACACTACATTCAGTAATTCACACATTGGTGATGGCATGCTATGTTGCAGCCACAGCCACCCTGGGGCGCACTGACAGAGGCGAGCCTGCCGGACACTGGCGCCACCGGGCCCTCTGACCACTACCAGGTAACGGGTGAAGTGTCTTGCTTAACACACAACGACCGAGACTGTCGGAGGCGAGGCTCGAACCGGCAACCTTCCGAGTACAAGGCAAACTACCAACTCTTGAGCCACGATCGCCCCCATTTGCTTACAATTACTACCCAAACAAGCAATGCCTGTAGAAAACAAAGCCATATCAAACTACAGAAAGGCCATTAAAATATGAAAGAAACAAAAAAAGAAAATGTAAAATTTATCCTAAAATATTACTCAGAACAAAATAATTACATTACTTTAACATGAGAAAAAAAAATCAGCTGCCGTTTTGTTATATAAAAAAGTACCTGTCAAATAATGACAGAGTAGCCCACAGACAGTAGTAAAATATTATCGCAGTCAGAGTCGTGAATGTCTTCATTAAACCTGCACACTTTTGAACTTAATGGACGACTTCATAATTTTTAAGTTCTTTCAATTAAGCAAATTATCTATATAACCTATCCAAGTGAGAGTACCTCACGTCGGGAAAAAGTCCACTCTTGTACTTTCATGCACAACTACATGATTTATTATTATTATCACTCATGTATTAACGTAATATATTTTCACTAGGGCTAAATGTCTCACCAGTTATTAACATGTTTTATTTGATGTTTTATTTGCTGTATATTTTTTTTTATCATTTCGTTCATACAAGTTTAGATATGATATTAAACCTGTGAAATAATATAAATTTAATGTAAAATATGGAATGGGTTTTGCTGACTTAATTGCGCCGTTAGATTATTAATATTCTGGATGCATAAAAATGCCTCATTATCACTGAACATCGTGAATAAATCGTGATTAAATAGACACATTAAAAAACAAAACAGAAGTACGACGAGCGCATGACACAGACAACAAACAGCGACAGTTATATTAGACACACACTCAAACCACAAGCTGACCTTATACGGATCTCCTTTGATCGCTTTGATATGCGCACTGAGCTCCTGCACTCACAGTAAACACCGTTTCTCTGATGTGCGTAACGTGTTGCGGTCACAAGAGAAGACAACTTGACTCCGTGTCCGTGTGTTTGTCACCATGGTAACGCCACCTGTCGCTTGTCAGTGCTGAAGTTTCCCCACCACCATGTAGCTTAATGTCTCTTTAAGCATGTATTTATTTCACATTTTAGGGATTTAAATAAGCCGAATTCACCATTAAACTTTATTTGGGGTATGTATTGCTTCATGTTATGATAAGCGTCACTAAAGTCCTTGTAAACTGTAGAAACCTTAAAAACACATGAATTCTTGGGCAAGTTCTGTCTTTTTTCTATGATTTCTAACCTGTAGTGTATTTAGAGATATTAGTGATGAGGCTCTTGATACATTTATGTAATGCTTATACAGAGTTTCAAGAAGATTAGTCCACTCGTCTATGATGATGAACGAACTGTCAAATCTACAAATATAAACATGATTGTGGGATTTGTATAAAATATTTATAAAAGCCATAGGCCTGTGGAAGTTGACACAGTGTCCTCTGAAATAATTATGCCATGCTTTGTGAAGATTAGTCCACTGGTCTAGGGAGATAGAAAACATGTAAACATGTGCTAACATTTTTATGACACCAATTTGTTGTTGTTGTTGTTCCGTTTCAAATTTTCAATGAATGATGCATTCTCTTATTCATTTGGTCACTCAATCCTAATGTACACAACTGCATACTCATACTATTAATATATTTGTGCTACTATCACTTTCATGTGTGTTTCATGTGCACAGTAAGTTCCTTCAAATTCAAAGCAAACAAGGAACAGCATTGATCACTTCATTGTTCGTATGTATCCACAGCTGATGTGCATTAAGTAAAATATATAACAAGAGCATTAAAGCAAGGCCTTATAAAAATATTTATTTACAAAGACAGAATAAAATATATTTACATTCATGACAACAATAAACAAACAGTTTGGAGTCCAGCGATATAGTAATATGTGTGTGCTAGTCTTGATTTTCTGCCAGTTTTCTGATTTCCTCCAGCAGTTCAGAGAAAGATGGCCGACCATCAGGCTTCTGCACCACCACCGAAGAAGAAAAGGAGACGTAATAGTAGATGAAAAGAAGAAGAGGAGAAAGATGTCATGCATTTCTTTATAGAAGGTGCAGAAACATGGTACAGTCAAAATATTAAAATACAAAATGTTTAATACCTCATGCCAGCAGCGGTACATGATGGCGTACAGTGGTTGTGAAGCACGTTGTGGTCGGTACAGCCGGATCCCCCTGGTGATGTCAGTAACTACGTCCACATTTGATCGGTTTTCAAATGGAGTCCGACCCTCAGAGAATATTTCCCACATTACCACACCTGGAGAAAAATAGCCACATATATGTAATACTAGACACATATTACACACACACACACACTATATATATATATATATATATATATATATATATATATATATATATATATATATATATATATATATATATATATATATATATACACATACATATATATGTGTGTATATATATATATATATATATATATATATATATATATATACACACATATATATGTATGTGTATATATATATAAATATATATATACATATAAACATATAAACACACACACACACACACATATAAACACACACACACACACACACACACACACGTAGAGAGAGAGAGATTGGGAAGACAAAGAGAAGCTGCAATCTATTTTAAGCTACAACTACTCAGGAGCTATACACTTGGTATATTTGGCCTGTGTTTCCTCACCATAGGACCAGATGTCAGACTTGCTGCTGTATTTACTGTAGTGGAGAACTTCAGGAGGAGACCACTTCACTGGGAACTTGGCACCAATTGAACTGGTGTACTGATTGTCTAGAACGTATCTGGCAAACATAGTTGAAGAATTTAAATATAACCAGAGAACAGGTGGCAGGAGTAGTTATTCAACATGCTTTAGATTCTATAGGTAGTCTGCATAACAAATGTGGTTAAAATAAAAAAAAGAACATACCTGGTCATTCCAAAGTCGCTGACTTTCACCACATTGTGCTCACTAACCAGACAATTCCTGGCTGCCTGGATATGGAAAAGAAACATTATAAACCAAATATTCAGCTAGAACAGATCTCACGTGTACACCACTTTGTGTTGGTCTTTCACGTGGAATTCCAATAAAATTGATTCATGTTTGTGGCTGTAATGTGACAAAATGTGGAAAAGTTCAAGGGGGCCGAATACTTTTGCAAGCCACTGTATGTTTGAGCATTTTAGTTATTTTAATCTTTGGGTTGAGCAGCACAAGTTTTGAAATTTATTTTTTGAATCTTGTCCTTCTTCTGTTTTAAGATAAGATAAGATAGAACTTTATTAATCCCTCGGGTGGGTTCCTCTGGGAAATTCGGTTAGCCGACCAAATCACATATTTTAGTATTTTATATTTTATTTTACCTAAATGTAGTTATTATTTATTTATAATTTCTAGTTAATCTCTCTTGAAGATATATATATATTTATATTCTTAAATATTATACTCTTATAAATGCACCATGGGATCTTGGGATATTTTGGTACACTGAATACTGTGTATATTGTTATATTGACAATAAAGACCTTGAATCTGAAGATGTCAAAGATGCATTATACAGGAGTCTGTACAAACTCTGTACAGGTTCAAATCTTACAAAAAATATACCATGATTTCATAGACTGTTACTCATGTTATATAGAATTACTGTGTTGGCTCACCAGGTCTCTGTGGATGAAACTATGTCCCTCCAGGTAATCCATCCCTTCACACACATCCTGGCACATAGACAAAAGCCACGACTCCGGTAGAGTTCTGCTCCTTTGCCGCAGGAAGTTCAGCAGGCAGCCATTCTCCATGAACTCAGCTACGATCAGCAGGGGGCGCTGCTGCAAACAAACGCCATACAGCTGTACAAGCTTCGGGTGGCACAACCTCCTAAAAGAGAGATCAGTCACAAAATGTTTTTAAGGAGCTCTTTAATTGCTCTTCCTTTTCCCACATCCGGATTATCCCGACATCCTTACATCATGACTTTGGCCTCCTCGATAAAGTCCTCTTCATACATGGCTCCCTCCCTGATGGCCTTGATGGCCACTCTTTGCTGTCCCCTCCACTTGCCAAACCTCACCACACCAAACTGACCACTACCCAGCTCCTTCATGAAGGTCAGCTCACTGGGATTGATCTCCCACTTTTCTAGAAGAAAAAACACAAGAACAAGATAAAGTGAGTAAAGACAAGAGTGAGGTCATCTCAAAACCTCTTGCTCTATGAGACCTAAAAACCAACCAGTATATAAGAAACAGAATAAATACAAGTTGGGAATTTCATGTGCTTTTCATGAAAACTGCTAATTCTTAAAAACAAAAAACAAAAAAAAACTTTAGTTATATTATTTAGTTAAATACTTAGATGCTTTTTAATTTTTCTAACTTTGGATTCACTTTCCTATTCCTTATAATGATTACACTTATTCAAAAATAATTCAAAAATAAAGAACACACCCACATTTAGTCTATGATAATAATATAATTGCAATATGCCACAGGAAATGTTAAGATGAGATAACCTTTATTAGTCGCATGCGTGGGAAATGAAAGAGGAACAAATTCTGATATAAAATAACACATCATCTACAAACAGACATTATATTCTAATCTGTATCTTTTTTTCAAATCAGGCTACAAAAATGAAAGATACTTTCAGCTATTTTCAAAATGAAAGATATTTTCATTTTTGTGTTCACTCATTTACTTTGCTATATATTAGATGTAGCTCTGGTCATATCTGCTTGCTTCTCATTCCTGTCCTTGTTAAGGATGCATTTGCATACATTTATACAACCAGTTTCTGAATGACCTAATTCTGTCCACATTTTAAAACTTGACTGCTAGCCAGTGAAGTAATTTGATAGAAAGAAGTTTGCGTTTAAGCTGCTAATTACAGCTGTTTTATATTTCCACTGTTATGTGGAAATATATTACTTTACAGAGGTTGAAGATCCAATTTCAGCAAGCTGTCAAAGTTCATCATATTCTTTTAGTAAGAAGAACAACTTTATTCATTGACTGATCATTCCACTTTAACCTTAGCTTTCATCAGGGCGATGAAGGCTACAGGCCAAGCACTAAAGGTTACAAGGGCAAAATGTGTTAAAGCCCCCAAAATTGTTGAAATTCTGTTGGCGCTTCAGTATCTTTAGACATTTGATCTTCTACATGACTAAAGAGCCAATATAGATAGAAACATAGATATAAATATAAGTATCTTAACTGCAAATCATGCAAAGCTACTCTAGCCCAGTCCCAGAATAAAAAATGTGTGAGTTAGGAAATGAGTATAACAGAAAACCGTTTCAATGGCTCAGTAAGAACTATAGCTGACGTGTTTCTCCATCTCTAAATTTAGCAGGTATTTCTGACTAATACTAGAGAGGATCTGTAAGTGTTTATATACACATACCTGAGCTGAATCCTGCCGTGGCAGGGACACACCTTCCCATTGGTCCGACTGGATATCGCAACCTGGCCACTAGACCTGCACAAAACACGCAAACAAACATATCAACTGCAGTAATGAATGGAAAACTGACAGTGTTGTTTTTACAAATACCATGTGCTCAATTACCTGCTGCATTGTGTTCATGGTAGTGTATAACCTCAGGTATGGAGCTGAAAATGTGTTTTTCAGCTAAGTAGTATTGCTCATTGTCAGTTATTTTAATCTGGTAATGCCTGACATCTCCGCTGGAACTAAAGACAAAGAAACAGAAGAACTGATCAGTTTGTAGGTTAAGATGTGCTTTGTTTGTGATTTTAATTCAGTGTATTTTTTGTCTTTGTCAGACAGGCTAAGATTTAACCCTTCAGGTTACATGAATCACCTTATTGTTTTGGTGTAAACAGAGACGGTGTAGACTCCCTTTCGACTAGACTCCCGGACCACAAATCCCCCCTCTTTGTCCTGGAAGAAAACAAGAAATAAACATTATTTATTTGGGT